TTGATACAATGCTGTATGATACACCAGAAAGTGGTCTGTTCCATCCACCCATGCAGGCGCCCCTCACACAGAGGTCAGCTCTTTCATAAAACTTAAATACGTAGCGAACCCCGTTACTCATCCCGAATACATTTCAGGATGTGTGCCGGGGAGGAGGATGAGCAAAGGCCTGCCTTCCTGAAGCTTACGCTCACAGGGAAGGTGTCCCATAAACAAAGAAACACACATGGAGCATGTCATGTCCCCGTGTGGAGAGAGCCACCGGGCACAGGGGGCCGGGAAGGACTGGATTTGCCAGTGTCCTGCTTGGGGAAGGCCTCCCTTGGGGCTTCCTCCTTTGGCTTCTGGAGTCTAAAGCTTCCTGGTGTCGCTTCTACCTGCCTAGCAGAACCGCTCAACATGGTTCCCCATCTAAGGCGGCAGGGATGAGCTGTGTGGATGCTGCCGATGCTAGTGTGACCACTTTGATCCCTGTCCACTGATGTGGCACCTCCAGGGCGCTTACGGAGTGAAGGGGGAGTGTGATCAGTAGCACCATCACTTAGGAGGTGTGTCCCCTGGGGAGAGCCGGGTTTTAGCGAGTGCAAGGTAAAGCAGGCCTTCCAGAGTGAGATCGCTGGTGCAAGGGAGCTCATGCAGACAGACCAAAATTCCGACGAAGAGGAGTGCGTGAGGTGGAAGACAGGAAGCCCTGGGTGGGACACTGCAGGCTTTCCCACTGTTGGTGTTCGAGGTGTTTGAGACTGTTCGTGCCGCCTCCACCACCCCCAGTTTGATACCCAGAAACGACTCCAGCCATTGCCAGCGGTCCTGGGTGGGGGCTTCTAAGTGAGAACCAGTGGATCTGTGGGAATCCAGAGTCCCCTGCGGCCGGAAGTGCTGGTGTGGAAGGACGCGAAAGGGAAGTGCTGACGGGTTGGCTGTGGCCGTCTCTTAGGGGAAGGTGGGTGGTGTTATTTCTGAGTGCTGTCTCCTTCCCAAGACTGCCATTTAGCTGCTTCCTCCAGGTGAGTCTGGGATTCTCCCTGAATTATAAATATTCCAAGATATGGACAAAGCTTGGAAATGAGAGGGCCCTGTCCCTGTCAACTATTTTGCAAAAAGTTCCCACAGCTAAAAGTGGGGAAGGGGCCTAGAAACAGACATGCCATTTTGCTTTCCAGAAACAGGATTTCTGAGCTAGGTACCAGTGAGTCTGGTCTCACCCAGGTGGGATTCTGAATTTGATTGTGAAAGGGGTGCTTTGCGTGCACACAGAAAAGGAAACAGACGTATTTGAACAGGGATAGTTTATTTAAGAGAATGGGTAGACATCAGATAGATGTCCCTGTATCGTTAAGTTGTCAAAAATATGTGAGTTGGGTACCCATATAATCCTCAGCAGAGTATTTGAAGAGATTGTTCCTTGGTCTCTTCACAAGCCAGTCGAAAGATGTGTGAGCCAAGCACAGAGACAGCGTGATTCATTTGGGCTGAGTGGTCACTCGTAGACTCTTCCAGGAGCGGATTGGAGCATCTGGAATTGCAGGCTCTGTCTTGACTCCACCCTGTTCATCTTTTTCATGGACGTGGATGGATATACGGAAGTAGATGCTCAGAATAGCCAAACATAACTAAGACAATTGTGACGAGTAACAACGCATAGACTTAGAACACAGAGGCAGACTGACAAAGTGGTGGCCTGGAACAGAGAGCCATGCGGGAGACCCACCAGTGCCTGTGTGGGAGCCTGCCGTGTGAACGATATGACTAATATGTGTGTCCTGAGTGTCTTAGAAATACTGGTCTACACCCGTAAAAACAACCACTCGATACCAGGAGAGAGTTCATGCCCTGATACACCTACTGTGGGCTCAGCACCGCACAAGTCACCAAAGGGGAGGTGAGCACTGGTGGTGGCCTGGGCGCAGGCATGCTCGTTACATTTGGATAAGCGACTGGCAGCCACGTGCAGAGAAGGTCCCGACTGTGTACTCCATAGGAGTTTAGAGATGGGAAATGTAAGTTTGGGAGAGAGTGTTACAAACCCAGAGTGACAGAAGGAAGGGCACACCGTTGGGGATGAACATGGCCTGTCAAATTGAGAGGACACCCAAGGGACAGAGTAAAAAAAAATACGATTTTAATAGAATAATATTACCTAATAGTGGCCCCGGCAGCAGCGGAGAGCTGTGTTTGCCTGTTCTGCTTCTCTGCCTGCAGTACAAGGGTGGAGCCCTCTGAGGACAAAGACCGTCAGAGTGACCATTGTTTTTCAAGACCAGGCACCACGCCTGGCAGAGTGGGCTCCTGACTCTGAGTATTCGCTATTGAGACTGTGGCTTCAAGGGTTAAGGAAATCACCCTTTAAGGAATAATGGGGTTAAGGAAAGGTCTAAGAAAGTGAGTATGAAAGATCTCTGGACCTCTGAGGACAAAGGAAGCAGTGGAGAGGAAGGAATGAGTGGGAGTGACCTGGCCAGGACACCTGAGGATGAAAGGTGGGACCAGGACAAGCTAGGAAGGTTCCTTTAGCAAGAGAGGGGAGCCCGTTCCTCTGGGGATGGAGAGAGGGGAGCCCCCGTTCCTCTGGGGATGGAGAGAGGGGAGCCCCCGTTCCTCTGGGGATGGAGAGAGGTGCCCCCGTTCCTCTGGAGATGGAGAGAGAAGAGCAGGTTCCTCTGGGGATGGTGAGGGCAAAAAGACTGCTATAGGAGCCGTGATGGTAAAGTTACAACAGAGGTGCCCCAGGAAGCTGACAGCCAGATTGCTTCCATTGACGTTACCTCCCACCTACTGCCAGGGAACAGTGACCTGTTCATGTGCCTCTGCATCTAAGGATGTGTGTGCATAGGGAGCACCTCCTGCCTGGTAGAGGGAAAGTCGCTGAGACATCAAATGGCCACGTTTCCTGCAACTCCTTAAAGTGGTTAAGGGTGCTTCCGCCTTTTGTGGGTGAGGGTCCACCCACAGGGAGTGCACACGGTTGACACAATTGCAGAGATCTCCTGCCATCCAGTGTTGCCTGGGCTGTCCTGCAGGAGCCCTGGGGGGCCCTTCACCCCCTTCGAAGAGGGCACCCCACAGCCCTCTTCTTCCACGTGTGATGGGTGCGTGCAGTGAAGGCTGAGCCTTCCAACCGTGCAGCCAAGCGCCTCTGCCTTGGGACGGCCAGGAGCATGCATCGGGGCGTTCTCGGGACCACGTGTGTTTCTCAGATACCTTAAATTATATGTTTTTACATTTCTCAGCATATGCTAACATTGCCTAGAACTTCACAAAATAAAAATGTTTTCAGTCCATTTTGATTTCCAGTATCTTTGTAAACCCTGCAGTGGCTCCCATTTCCCACAGAGCACAGGCGAGGGTCTCCACGGTGGCCTGCGAGCCCCTCCTGTCCAGTGCCACCTTCCACAGGCCTCTCCTACCCACGTCGGCCACTGCCACTCTGGCCCCAGCTCCATTTCTGGAACATACCAGGCTGTCTCCTTACAGCCAAGCTCTGGCTGTTTCTCCGCCTTCATTACCTTCTCACTCCTCCGCCATTGTCAAGCCTTGACTCAGTGTCCCCTGCTCATCGAGGCCTGCCCCAGCTACCCTACTTTAGATGACACCCTCATCACTGCCACTTCTCTCCAACTTCCCCACCTGCATGCCTGGCATTCCATTCTGTCTTTCCCATGACTCTTACCAGCTTCCGATGGACTCTTAGTTCTGACCTGGCTGCCACGTCACTGTTGCTCCACTTTAAGAGTTGCCATTGGGGCAGGAATGTCTGTCTGTTTCTCCTCAATCAGTGGTGGGTGCGAAGCATCTCAAAAGCCACTGGCCCACAGTCGGTGCACAAAAAATAGCATCCGAAGGGGCTGAGTGCACGGCTCAAGCCTGTAATCCCAGCACTTTGGGAGGCCGAGGCAGGTGGATCACGAGGTCAAGAGATCGAGACCATCCTGGCCAACATGGTGAAACCCCGTCTCTACTAAATATACAAAAATAGCTGGGCATGGTGGCGCATACCTGTAGTCCCAACTGCTTGGGAGGCTGAGGCAGGAGACTCACTTGAACCTGGGAGGTGGAGGTTGCGGTGGGCCGAGATCACATCACTGCACTCCAGCCCGGATGACAGCGCAGCTGCGTGGGGCGTGGGTGCAGCGTGCTGCACAGAACTCTGACTTTGGGCTTAAAAATGCTGAATTGTGGAATAAAAACTTTTCGAGACTCGAGGCAGGCACCACCTATTTTTCCTGCACTTTTTCCGTGCACTGTTCCACCCTGGTTGAATTATATGTGTTTCTGGTCATTTTGTACTCCTTCGGCCTTCTCTTTGATAAAGATACAAAGGGACTTAATCCATGGAAAGTTTCACTTGTAGTGAATAATCACCTGCGCTGGTTTTGAAACTTTTCTAAGTAGCTTCAATGAATCAAAAATTGGCAAGCCTGCTGTATCGACTTCCAAACACTGTTGCTGGACATTGGGGAGAGAGAGAAAAAATAGCATAGAATTTTTCACTAGTAATAAAACAGGATGAAGTTACAGTCATCTGTGGTATTGAGGCCAGAAGAAAGAATCAGGAATTCCTTATCCTGTGCACCCACAGGAATCAAACCCATTTAAGTTGGGGTTTCCAAATGTATTCTTCAATGCATTCTTTTCATTTCTAATATATCAAGGTGATTCTAAGAAGAGAAAGATAACAAAGAGCATGAACTCACCCCCTCTCTTTTGCAGAGCTCCAGTCATGGAAAGGAGAGAAGGAGAAATTATCTATGGCATGATAGTGATAGAAAAATAAGTGTGTGTTTTTAGGGAGCGGGTGGCACAGTAGAGCACGGGGGGGTCGAGCCCACCTCACCCCGAGCCTCTGGGCCTCCAGCCCACCAGCACGGTGATGGGATGTTGCCTGCGGGGCTCCATGCGATACGGGAGGGGTGTGGCTGTGCTCTTTCTGCCTAGTCTACTTTGTAAGTGCTCACCCTCTGCATTTTTTTTTCTTTTTGCTTTTTCCGGTCCAATGGCAGACACAGGGCTGGGTGACTCCGTATGCTCCAGCCCCAGTATCTCCAGCACCACCAGCCCCAAGCTCGACCCGCCCCCCTCCCCTCACGCCAACAGAAAGAAGCACCGAAGGAAGAAAAGCACCAGCAACTTCAAAGCCGATGGCCTGTCCGGCACTGCTGAAGGTAAGGGCTCCAGGGTGGGAATCTCCACTTCGGAAAATGCTTTGTTATTTTTCAAATGTGTGAAATTAGACACCCTAAGAAGCACAAATGCGCAGTATTGCTGGTCACCACCTGTGCTTTCTGTTTGCGAGGTGGTACTAGAGGGCCCTTGGGACCTTCTCATCACCGTCTGATTCTCAAATGACTCAACCAAATCCGCCGTCTCACTCCTGGCCGCTGTCACGGTGGCGAGTAGGAGTGCTGGTCCCCCGGCCATGAGCCTGATCCGGTTCTGAGGTCTCGCCCCACCCTGGCAGCCTGGGCGAGTGTCCTCTCTAGCCAAGGTGGGCCATGCTGTGTGACTCTGCTGGGGACACTGCCCACTTCTAGTTTAGGAGTCTTCTCTGATGTTGGCTACTCTTTAACCAGACACCTGCCTTGATTTCAGCTTTTAGCAATGTGTTATGCTAAACGCCTCTTTTGCTAACGTCTATCAACTCTTTCTGGAATGTGCACTCTGTTAATATTCCAGTTGTCACAGCTCATCATGAGTCTCCTTTCACCTGAGTCCTTCCTTAGTTTTTATTGCCACTGATGGCTGGATGTGAGCGTCCTGAAGTGGCTCCTTCAAATGAATTCCCCTTTTTTAAATTGCATAGATGGAAGCAGAGATACGTGAGTGCACATGTACACACGTACACCACATTATGAGAGGTAAAATCAATGCAGTTGTAACAAACAAAGGAACACTTGAAAGGAAAATCAAAGTTTCCGAACCTCGTCATAACATGAATTGTTAACCGTGAGGTCGACAAGAGTAAGAGTCTGTCTTCAGCAAGGGTCTCGTGCACCCGGGCGTCACCTGCATGGCCTCTGCCCTTTCTCTTTCTCTGTGGCTGCCATGCTTTTTCCAGACACTCTGCCAGTTTGAGTGTTCAGACCGGTGAGCCGTCAGCTGGTGGCCACGTTAGAGAGAGTGCCCCATGCCTTCCACATATCCAGAGTGGAGTGTGTGAACCCAGGGTGTATGTGTCAGCAGGGAAGGGGCGGAGCAGGGGGTGTGCCTTGTGTTTCTGTAACGCCTGAGGTGGGAGCAACGTTTCTTTCATCATGAGGAAGCTGAGGTTTGGAGCTCTGAGTAGCCCGCCAGCCTCCCCAGAAGGGTTAGAAGCATTTCTCCTTCACCACATTTCTTCCTGTTTTGCCTCCTAAGCTTCCTGTTAACATATGTAGCCAATAAAAACCGATTTTTCGGCCAGGCACGGTGGCTCACGCCTGTAATCCCAGCACTTTGGGAGGCTGAGGCGGGAGGATCACCTGAAGTCAGGAGTTCAAGATCAGCCTGGCCATCATGGTGAAACTCCATTTCTACTAAAAATACAAAAATCAGCTGGGTGTGGTTTCAGGCACACGCCTGTATTCCCAGCTACTTGGGAGGCCGAGGCAGGAGAATTGCTTGAACCAGGAGGCAGAGGTTGCAGTGAACCCAGACTGCACCACTGCACTCCAGCCTGGGCAACAGAGTAAGACTCTGTCTCAAAAAAAAAAAACTGTTTTTCTCATGTTGTGGTAAGTGAGGACAATTCCACTAAGTCAGCAATGGTGGAAAATAATGAAATAATGATTATAAGTCTGAGAAGCCATGGATGCCACTGACTTTCCCACTGAAAAAGGGTTCAGCCACAAGTGCTTTATGTTGGTAAGATTCCATCAACCATTTGGCAAAAATTACCTGCCAAGCACATGCAGCCACGCCTCCCTGATTGGGAAGAAAGTTAGCCTCTCCAGGGTGGGCAGCCTGTGCCCTCCACCCTGCCAAGCTGCCCACACAGGGGTGGGGGCCAGATTCCCTTTAGGGACAGGCCATGCGCTCATTTTCACAGGTACATGTCTTCTTGTGTTTGTGTTTCCAGCCGAGGTCTGTGACTTTTTTTATACACAACCTGGTAGGAACTGACTGTTACCACTTACATGCACGTTCATGATCCCACCCACCTGTTGACTGCTGCGTGGATGAGTTGGTATGGGGAGGTCCTGCCATAGATGAGTGGCATTTCTGCACGTTTAACTGAGCAGCTGGTACTACCCTGTGTTCCGATCAGCACCGGTGAGCCTGAAGGAAGTTTGACAAGTGACCGTGAGCATGTTGGACACCTGATGTTTCAGGTCCACTTCCTGAGTGAATGGGACTGTACGTGGGTGCCAGGCAGTAGTGGACAGCCAGGCTGAGATGCAGGCTCTGTCCAGGCAGCCACCCTGGGCCTCCTTCCTTAAAGGGGTGACACCAGTAGAAAGATTTCAGGCACCATGGAAACTCCCAGATGAGGAAATCACAAGAGTGTCTCAAACATGGATGTGTAAGTGGGTGGCCTGTGTTCAGAAGCCCAAGGCAGAAGTTTCCCGGGAGCCACCTCACGCTCTGCGTAGGGAGTCTGGTCTCTACATCAGCGGCTATGACATCTTTCCTATAGAAAATAAGCTATAAGTCACTTATAAAATGTATCATTTTTCCCTAGGAAAAGACTACACAAGTCATTTTTGTGAAACAATCTATATTTCACTTTTTAAAAGCCAAATTCTTCTCCCAAATTGTAGCATCTCTAAAGTCAGGACACATCATTTTAGATTCATTTAAATATTTTTAGACTGATTTAGATATTTTTAAGATTTATTTACTATTGCATTTTTATATATAATTTTATAGTGAATATAGATATATTTACGGTACTTTTATTTACTGTTAATTCCTTGAAAGTACATTGTGTAAACCACCCAAATTAAACATTCTGTTCTTGAAATTAAAGCTAGCTATATATGTTTTATTTTACTTACTTATTTACTTACTGTATTTTTGAGACAGGGTCTCACTCTGTCACCCAGGCTGGAGTGCAGTGGTGCAGTCATGGCTCACTGCAGCCTCGACCAGGTTCAAGTGATCTTCCCACCTCAGCCTCACAAGTAGCTGGGACCACAGGCAGGCACCATGATGCCTGGCTAATTTTTTTTGGTTTTTTGTATTTTTATAGAAACAGAGTTTCACTCGGTTTTGCCTAGGATGGTCTTGAACTCCTGGGCTCAAGCAATTCTCCCGCCTCAGCCTCACAAAGTGCTGGGACTATGGGCATGAGCCACCACTCCCAGCCTGTATTTTATGTTTTCAGAATACTATTCAATGATAGGAAACCATTTCTACTCCTCTTTTCTGCAAAGCTCTGTGACTGGTTACACTAGCATATTCTCTGTCACCTGACCAAGTGCTGAAAAGTTGGAATTGCAGATATAAAACATTCTGTAGAAGATATGTGTAAAGTAGTTGAATTTTATGGCTTTTTTAACATTCCTATTGGAACAAATAACTAGATTCAATCTCTTCAGGGTGTAAGAAAAAATTCCATTGAAGTTAGCAAATTCATCTGGGTCCTTTGAATCCATTAGTCAATAGAATCCATTGAAGTCAGCTGATTCATCAGAAATGAGATGGGGCTTGCAGGCCAGCTCACTGAGGGGAGTTCCCGTGGGACTGTCTGCAGAAGTGCAGGGAGAGCGATGTGTGTGGTGTAGAACCGGGGTGTAATGGGGTGAAGAGAGGGCAACCGTTTGGGAAAGCGTCCAGCTAGGAGCTGTGGCCTTCCAGAGAGACATGTCTAGCCGTGGTGACAGGGAAGGTGAGGGTGACCTCACCCTTCTCTGTCCCACTGGTTTCCAGTGGCTCCTCCTTGACCAAATCCAACCAGACACCAAAAGGCCTGAGAGCCCACGGATGCCAGCCACACAGTTGGCTCCCAGGGCCAAGACAGAGCCAACAGGAGCCGTAGTGTCCGTGCCTTTCACAGCACCTCCTGCAAGCCCCTGAAGCCCGTGTCATGCCACTCTACTGGTGTTCTGCCAGCACAGGAAACTAGGGCAGGGGTGTGTGCTACCGCCATCATCCCCCAGGGTCTGGCCTTACCCCGATCCAGGGAACCCTCGCAGCTTCCTGAAGAGACCTCAGCGTCCTTCTCCAGCTGGGTGCGACAAGGACCCTGCTAGTAGGTCTTCCTAGACTCTCAGCCAAGCACAGAGGTTCTGACCCTGGCCGTTTCTTACCTCTGTGGCGCACTTATTCAGAAAGTAAAGGCTAAAAGTAGGAATCATCAGTATTTGCTGCTGCAAACCCAGAAACACTGTGTCCACACGGGCTTCAGGGTGACCAATGGAAGTAGGGCCGCTCCTGCCCTTGAGTTTCCCCCTGTGCTGGTCCTTGCTGGGCGCTTTTTGCTGAAGAACAGCCGCTACATTGTGCATCAGATGGCAGAGGGTGTGAAACCTCAGCTTAAGGAGAGCATCTCTTTTCTTAACTTTTACAATTTAGAATGGATTGGATGAATCTGGAAAGTTACAGCAGCAGAGACCGTGACTGGAGAACCCCTTAACTTTTTGTGTCTTATTTCGGGCTGTCAGGATTAACAGGAGGTGTGTGGATGACGGAGCCTGTCACTGGGCCCTTGCGTCACACATGGGCTGCATGCTGCATGATCCCTGCAGACCAGTAGAAGGAAACTGAGATGTGACTGGACAGGATGGCGACGGGGCCCGAAGCCCGTGAGTGGAGGGAACGGGAAGTGACCAGGGAGAAGGGTAGTGATGAGGACAAGGGCCAAGAGGCATGATGACCGGGATTGGCTGGTGGAAGGTCTGCCGAGCAAAGGGAGGTCCCAGCTTGTCCTGGATGGCCCAGGTGGCAATCATGGGACTTGACAGGTAGAAGTCTCCAGGAGATGGACTTTGGTTCTGATGCTTAAAGCTCTGGGAAAGGCTCTAGGAACTGGGGCCACCTGAGAGGGAGTGACCCCGACCCTGCATGGGGTCAGCATGGGTTGGACCACGGTAGAGGAGCCCGAGCTCTGGAAGGTGACTGCACAACAGCCCTGGATTCCCGGCCAGGTCCAAGTTTAAGGGTGTGTGCCAGGGAAAAGCGCCTGGGCAGTGGGATTTTTCCAGATCTTTAATGCCTTGTCACCTCTTGGCATTGTCTTTGAATT